AAGTCACGTGACTTGCTGGAGTTTCTAGAAGGATCATGACTGTTCCTGGCAACGCTAGTCTTTTCTAGGTGCCCTCTATTTTAGTATACAAGCCCGGCAAATAAAGCAGAGATATAATTGCAGATAGATGGAGATAGAGACAGATAACTGAGGCAAGTGAGCGGTAGTAACCGTAAGAAAAGTGTGTGAATCGATGTGAATTATAGCGTGTGTTTAAGTTAAAGTGACTGTGGAAATTCTGTGTATTATAAAGTTGTATTGAGAAATAATAAACTAGTTTTAATTAAGAAATGACTTTTACCACTGAAGTTTCTCGAAAATAATTTTTACGGGAAATTATCAAACAAGCAGATACGTAACAATATTTAGCATTGTATACATATAATATAGTAAAAAACAATATTTTATTTAGTCAAATAATACTTGTCAATAATATATCTGAAATATTTGATTTAAAACATGGCAACCACCAACATCAAAGTTATGTTTTTCCACATGCCAAATAAATTTAACGCCAAAGTAATTGAAACTTAAAAATCTTATAATTAAAAATATGTTGTTATACTTTCAAGCTGCACTTTACTTTCACGTACCATTACGTTGAAAAAAATTAGGTTCTGTTTGAAGTAATTTCAAGGTTTATTAGTTGTTTCTGTCAGGTTTCAACTGAAACTATTGATAACTTAAATGTCCACTTTTCTTATTTAACAAATTTAAAAATGGATGAATATCATATCTGTTTAGAAACAAACATGGACAAACGAATCAAATAGAAATAAAAACACAAAAAAAAAACAATTTGTTAGGTGAAGTATTTAAAACTCACAGGTGGACCCTGAGGACCATATCGACCAAATCGACCATTTTCTCCTGGTTGTCCCTTCAAAAGAAAAAAGATAATTGAATTTACTATACAAAACAAAAGAGTTGAAAGGTTATATACATATTTTCATATATGCCTTTTAACAATATCTAAATAAGTGTAGAATTTTGGGTTAGTTATCAATACCTGTTTCTAGCAAAGAAACAATTTATCCCACTCTTGACCTGAAATAATGAAGAAATTAAACATAAAATCTAATGAAATTGAATTACACTCTATTTTTAAATGTTTATACCAAATAGAACTATGAATTTCAGATCCTCATATATACCCTAATTTTATTTAATTTGTTCAGCAAATGTTGTGTGAGTTTACAAAGACAAACTGCTTTGATGTGTTGATTTGTTAACATTTGAAGTACATTACTTTTACTCCAGGTATACCATCTTCTCCTGTGAGTCCTGGCTGACCCTTCTGGCCTTTCTCTCCTGGTGGACCAAAGGGGCCATCTTTGCCTCTTTTCCCCTAAATATGTTTATTTGTTTATGTTAATTAATGAAAATGAGAATAGAAAGATGTATCACTTAAAATTTATTTAAAACATGTAAATGAATTATCACAATATTAAAGAGAACATATTTGTACTCAACAGTCTTACTTATTTATTCTTATCTTTTCATTGAAACAACTAATAGAAGTTTATTGCATCTATTTAACATAAAATATTATCAATATAGACTGGTCAACAGCTTTTAAACTACAAATCATTTTAAACTTAAAAAAGCGAATAACAAGTAGCAAATTGTATCAAGTCAGTACAAAGTATGAATGAAAATTTAGTACAAAAGTTATAACAGATTTAATTTTATCTTAATATTTTTATCAAAGTATACTTTCAAATGCTTTCATTTGCCAAACATTTAATCTCATAATTATATAAAATACAAAATCCTTTAAGATTATGAATACCTAATATCTTGATACATGTATTTTCAGATATAAAATATTACAAAATATTTTATCAACCAAATCACTGTTTTAAATATTTAAAGCATTTTCAATTGAAAGTAGCTTTTGTCATGAAAATACTGGTTATTTAAGTAAATTCTTAAAAGGTTAACATAATTACCATAGTTTCTTATTAATGTTTTCAATAACTTACTCTTGGTCCTGGATCTCCCCTTTCACCTTTTTCACCTTTAGGGCCATCTTCACCATCAAATCCCTTATTTTACATGTATAAATGGAAATTTAATATATTAGTCCTCAACAAAAGTTTTATTAATTAACATATGCAGAAATATAATATTCCTGACACAAAAACATATATAAATACCAGGTCACATATCAAACTATATTCAACCACCTACCTTTTATTTATTAGCCTATCTATTCAACATCTATCAATATTATCTAATCTAACTAGAAGTATGTAATATTATACAATGAAAATTTTTTATGATTAGGAAACACTCAGTCATCATTTGGGTAACCTCATTGTTGTAATAAACAGTCAATGAGGGACCATTTTGTCATTTAAGATTGTCCTTGTGTGTCCACCCTTGAGAAAAGAAAAGTAAAACTTTAAATCCACCTTTAAACCCACCATTTATTTTCAGGAAATCACCAATTCTTCTCTTAAACTCTTGTAGGTGCTGATGTTCAATACTGCATACCAACACTATCCTATTTAATAAGCTAATCATTAAATTAAATTCTCTTAACCAGAGCCTAGTCTATCTTTTCCAAATCTTACACTTTTGTCCTCTTATCCTATTGTTTTCAGAATACAACACAAATAAATTAGACACCTTTTTCCTATTGATCCAGGTCATTGGATAACCTTGCAAACTTTAATAATGGATCACCTCTCACTTTCTTTCTCAAGATAAAATAAATTAAAATTTCTTAACCTATTCCTATAAGATAAACCTTCCATAATAAGGATCATCATAGTAGCTCTGTGATAAACATTTTATTCTTTAAGAGAACAAAAACAATAGTATTTATTAGAACTTTCACAATTTAAAGTTAATATACTCATGATTAAAAAAAAGACAGGCCCAAACTTTAACAAATAACAAGAATGAACTTCAAACTTCAACAATACAACATTGACACAAGAAGTTAAGAAAAAGAACCAGAAGAAAAAAACCTAACTTTGTAAATTATCATAATTCTAGTACAACACTTACAAACTCTCTGATTAAGTATAACTCACAACACATATAAGTTCTAACCAAAGTTCAAGCAGTATTGAATCAAAATCACCCTGTTCATATGCATATCGGTTATATGCATTCTAAGTTCTTTTTTGATACCAGATGATGAGATTGCTATTAAACATAAAATTATTAAAAACTACTGATCAACTTCTGATTGGCGTATTTACACAGAGCATCAGAATGATTTATATATGACAACAGTTTACCAAGAAAAAAACGTCAGTGCCACTCGGTGTCAGTTAGTTTTTCTTGCTGTGAAAGCAGCATTACAATTTATTATAACAGGGTGTGAAGTGGTATCTATATAAATAAAATAAGAGTTTTGTATGTACATTGCTTAGAATAGTGTACTTTTTGCATATCTTCACGTTTCATACACCAGAAAAGCCAAAACAAGCCTTATCTCAATTTCTGTCTGCTCACGGACGTGTTTTTGTTCGCTTTTCACGGGAAAACGAGTGCACCGTTTTTGATGAAACTTTTTCTCTTTGTTGTATAGATGTGTAAGAAGGTTATAGGCTACTTGAAACTGTCATACGCCTTTTGGAAAGAAAATGGCGGCCACTCAAAATCCTGCTTTGGTGCTGTTTTGGACATGATTTTGTTCGCTTTGCACAGGGAAACGGGTGCACTGATTTCAATGAAATTTTTTTTCTTTGTTCTATACATGCGTGAGAAGGTTATAGACTACTTGGATTTTTGGAATTCACCTTATGGCTCCGCCCCACGGGTCTTCATAGTTCCAATGTTATTCTTATGGAAATTTTTTTGTTTTAATGATTACCATAGTAACAGTGAATATAATGTAAAATTTTCAAAACAATGTTTATTACCTCTATGTTGGAGCTCTAAGTTGGAAAGAAAACCACTCCTGCAAAAATTTGTTGCATCACTCCAGCTGTCTGTGCGAGGAACGAACGTATAAATCTGTTACCACAGTTCTTAACCAGGACAACGCCGTTCACTACCCGGGAGAGTTCCTCGACTCAGTAACAGCACCCGGATTACCTGCCCACGAGCTAATGCTTAAGGTCGGAGCTCCAATAATGCTCCTCCGCAACTTACACGCTCCCAAGTTGTGCAATGGAACGCGGTTCGGGTTCGTAGTCTGCAAAGATACGTCATCGAGGCAGACAACCTCACTGGCTGTGGTGCTGGAGAGTCAGTCTTCATACCACGCATCCCCTTGATCCCAAGCAACTACTCGTTTGAGTTCAAGCGGCTGCAGTTCCCGGTCAGCGTCTGCTTTGTGATGACTATCAACAAGTCACAGGGCCAAACATTGTCCACTGCCGGGGTAGAGCTCAGAAGATCTGACTGCTTTTCACACGGGCAGCTATATGTAGCCTGCTCAAGAGTCAGATCTTCTCGCAGCCTATTTATCCACGCCTCAGGTGGACGTACTTCCAATGTCCGTACTTGTGTGTTTGTAGTGTATCACACATTTGTGAAAAAATTAGTTTTATTTACCGAAGAGCCTCTTGATAGATTAATGATATTTGAGCCATGTAGTAGAAGGTGTTGTTGTCAGATGAGACAACACTGAGTTTTTTAGTCTAAACTAGCTGTGTACCCGTCCTTCATATGGGTTGTGTGTATAAATAATACATTAATTTAATAATTAACAAACAAATTACTTGTACATTATTAGCATTACATTTTACATTTTTTATTGTACATTATTATAACAATTAAATATAAGTTAACAAAAGATACTGTGGACCATGTGTTAACTGCGTCACTTAGAAAAAACGGAAAATGTCAAATTGTGATGATTTCATGCGTTTTCGCGAACCCAATATGAGATTGAAGTTTGTTTGTTTTTTCGATAATTTTTTTTCTTGTTACTAGCCCATACAGGCCAATTATGTATAGGAACCTGACCGATATATTGTCGATGTATGAACAATGACTCACATCTCAGACATGGAATTTTCCAAATATTTCAAAATACTGTTGGCTTCACAGTGGCATACCTAACCAGTTTCCTGCTTTTCCGGTTGGGTTTGGAAGGGTGGCCAGATCTGGCAAGAGACTGAGTGATATGAAGTATATTCCACTTCTTTATGATGGACTTCGCCGGACTAAAAGACACTTTGAAATCTTCTTGTAACCTTCTCCTGATCTGTGCTTCTCAACCATTTTACCACTGACTTGCTTGCAAAGCTCCTTGGTCTTCGTTGCTAATTTGTCGTATCAGTATGTGAGTTGTGGCTTGAACAGATGCATTTACTCTGAAGTAAATTTTAAATCACTTTGATTACATACAGACAGAGACCATTACACTAATTTTGTGTCCTTTCAATCCAATCTTTTGCACTTGAACTGATTTAAGGTTGCCATAGCAAAGGGCTTGAATACTTGTGCAATTCAAAATATCCTAATTATCTTTGAAACTTACATAATACCAGAGTTTTTTAGCTTTCTTTGTTTGTTGTAAATAGAAAGTTTCATGACGGACAGCTAAGGCGGCAACGAAATTTGGAAACATTGCAGGGGATGAATAATTTTTCAAGCCACTGTATAACTATTTGATGAATTGAAAATTTATATTTTTGACTTTGTAAACTTTGATGTAATTGTTTATTTAAGCAATTATAAAAACAATAAATCTCTAGACTGTAGAAACTTTCTTTCCTTATGAACGTTGATGCTTTTATTAATTGCCACTCTAATAATTGAAGTATTCTGTTCATATATAATTTAAACTCAATTTCGCGTGATTATGATTTATTCTGAGAAAATGTATATCACTATCTATACACAATCATTAGAAATTATCTTTTATATTTCAGGTTAAAAGCGAAAAGATGAAGCTCATCGTCTGCATAACCTTGCTGCTCGCTAGCGCCATCTACACTCTAGCTCAAACCAACTGCCAGAATTGCGGGACTGGTACAATGAATTCCCAACAAAGACTGGCTTGCTGTAACCTGGGAATCAACGAAGAACAGTGCTGTTCATATTTTGCTTTACCCAACATACCTGGCGGAGGACCTTATACAGGGCATGGCCTCTATGGGCCTAAGCCTTACATTCCTGGTAATCCAGCCAACGCTGGCGGATTTTACCCTCCCAACATTCCGTACGGACGTCGTTAAACAACTCTGATATTTCTTACCAGCTCATACGTCTTTTAAGATAATTTTTTCATGCTAAATACTAAACATATTTTGAAAACAAGTAGAAAATAGCGTGTAGATTTTGCTAATATTTGTATAGATTACGGGTCAAAATAAAATAAAGCTAATAATTAAACACAAAAATGGTAGTTTTGGTGTAAATTTTGTTTGTACCTACATTAGTCTAGAAACTCAAGACAGAGGATAGTTTGATGCTGTCTAGGTTGGGAGCTACAGTGCCTTGTAAAAGTATTCACTTCCTACAAAGTTTCCACATTCTTTGCTATCTTAGCTTGCAATCATGAAACTTTCATATGGGAATTTATGTTTAGAACCTACACAGTCTACTCCACACTGAAACAACTAAAAAACGTTAAAATTATGTAAGTAAGTTAGAGTTTCAAAGATAATTAGAATATTCTCAATTGAATAAGTATCCAATTCTTTTGCTCCTGAACTGATTTGTGGTTGCCATAGCAAAGGGGTTGGATTGAAAGGTAACAAGATTAGTGTAATGGTCTCTGTCTGTGTGTAATCAAAGTGGTTTAACTTGACTTCACAGTAAATGCATCTGTTCAAGACACAACTGATATAGTTGGACGACAAACCAACCAATAAGACCAGGGAGCTTTTCAAACAATTCAAGAATAAAGTGAAAGAGAAACATAGATCAACAGAAGGTTACAAGAAAATGTCAAGTCGTTCATTGTGCCTTTGAGTACGGCTAAGTTCATCATTAAGAAGTAGAATGTGCTTAATACCACTCAGCCACCACCCAGATCAGGCCAACCTTCCAAACTAAGCAGCTAGGCAAACTGGTTTGGGAGACCACTGTGAAGCCTACAGTGACTTTTAAATACTTGGTAAGTTCCATCTCTGAGTTGGGGGTCACTTTTTATACATCGAGAATATCCCGATCCATACACAAATATGGCCTGTATTGGCGAGTGGCAAGAAAGAAGCCGCTACTGAAAGAGAATCATCTTAAATCTCGTATGGAGTTTGCTCAAAAGACATGTAAATAATACTACAGACATATAGCAGAAGGATTTCTTGTCAGATGATACACAAATTGAGATTTTTAGTCTAAGTGCAATGTGTTACGACTGGAACAAGCCCAAAATAGCACATAACCCAGAGGGAAATAGAGATGGTGCAAAGTAGAGGCGAATCGTAGAGGAAGACTTTCTTGAGGCAACCAAGAATCTGTACCTGGGTCGAAATTTCACATTTCGTCAGGACAATGACCCGAAGCTCAAGGCCAAAGCCAGAATGGAGTGGTTTCAAAAGAAGAACATTAATGTCCTAGAGCGGTCCCGTTAAAGTCTTGACTTGAATTCTATAGAATATTTAGGGCGAGACTTGAAGACTGCAGCACATCATAATTAATATATCTCTCAAATCACCGGACGTATTTCCTATAGATTTATATGCAATCAATCTGTTGAAACGACTTTGAGAAATCTTTGCCATTGTACACTATATAAATTCTGGAAGTAACTGGTAGCTGAGAAGTGTTGTGTTTAGAATATGACAGCATCAGAATGGAGTCTTTAACAATGGAATGTCGTGGAATTGCGAAAATGTACAGTTGTCAAAGAGAGCATGAATAGACATGGCGATATGAAATGTGACGACGTGGTGAGACTCCAAATTCGTTTTAATATAACATATTCAGCTCTCTTCCAACAAAAGAAAGTTCAAAGTCATAGTTTGAACAAGGTCCTCCTGAAGTTGACCACAAAACACTTTTTTTGTCATTTCTAATAAAAACGAAGAAATAATGAAGATAACAAACCTGTAAAAACAACAACAAAGTTTCTATTATACTGTTAAATCTAATAAAAATGTCGAAATCGTAGTAACACCAACAAAATGTTTGGAAACTTAGTCATAGTTATTGTAAAACTTCACAAATACGAACAGTATTATTAAATACAAACTAAGATATTAATGTACTTACAGTTTCATAAACGTAGTAATGCTAGTTAGCAGCAAATGAATGAAAGCAAAAGATCAGTTGTACAAAGTCATGGCTACAGAGAGTTCGAAATTCTCCTCCTTCAGAAATATACTTAGAATTTAGGTTAGGGTAATAACTCTAAGACAAACGTCTTGGCTTAGGTATGATAATCGTTACGTAGTATCAGCAAATATATTCTTATTTAAAATGTATATTTAGCAAAAGTAAATATGAAACGTTGTAAGTTAATTAGACCCACTAATCTTTTCTAACCATATTTCAATTAGGCGCATGTCTTTTTTGTTTGATTATAATTACTATTTTCTATTTGGCTCATTTTATCACAAATGAATCATTTGCTTAGGAATAATTTCTGATGATAAATAACTCAAATTAACACAATTAAGTACGTTTATAGTTGTAACTGTAAAAGAATAACGTAGATCTGTTTCATACTACGATCGCTATAGTCACAATAGGAAGAGCTTCGTACGAAAGACAACAGTCTTCCAGTTGTAATGGATTCTAACTTACATTTTTATTTCAAATATTTTTTTAGATAATTAATTAGGGAAAATATCTACTTAATAAGTTACTTGGTATATAAAATTAGATTAATAGAACAATGGAAATAATGTAACATTTGAAAAAAGGTTACGTTTGTGTGTGAGTCAATAAGAAAAGGGTCTAAACGTTTTTGGGGTAAGTAAAACATTGTTCCCCGACTCAGAATTAAATACCCCCAGTGACAAAGTTTAAAACTAATTTTTAGATTATTACAAGAAATGATAAGTTCAGATGATTAGAAATCTTGTTCCTGCAACTAAGAAATCACCAATGATTTATATGCTCTTACAAGTAGCGACAAGAAAAGCACTTACTCATTGTCTCATTGACAGTTAACGGTGAATACTAATTTAGACAGTCTGTGAATTAGTGAACATTCAAGATTATACAGATTGTCTTACTGGTAGTAATAGATGATCAAAACGATTACAGATTTTCTCCTTATAGTAACTACACAAAACTTGTGAGATGATCTTACAAGTAGTAACCAGTAAGAAAGATAATACATTATCAGGTAGTAAATCATCAACATCAAAAGTACTATATATTGCTGAGCAGATCAATAATAGTCATATTGATTTTACAAATAATGATAGGTTACCACTGACGAAACTTACCATTATCTTTAGACTTGCTAATGCTGATCCAACTAGTGTTTTATAATATTAGTAAGTCTCCAACAATTATAATGTTGTACGTAAATGATAATCACATTGAGTTCAATAAAACTTTTATGTCACTATTAATCATACTGACCGTGATATTACTCGTATGTAATAAATAGTTAAACCGAGTTCACTAGAACTGTTAGGTCGCCCCTAATCATACTGAGAATGTTAGTACTTGTGGGTTACTATTAATCACAATTACTTTAGTAGCACTAACAACAAAACTTTTTCTGATTCAACTTGGTTTTCCTTGTACGTAAGTCTTAGGTTCTTAGTTACACTACATTGATGCCTACACTGACGTGACTATAATATTATGAAAAACAAACTGCATACCAACAGCCAGGAATAGCTAACTTCCAACTGCAGTAATATTAAAGTAATGTATGCATTTCACTGTACGACATTAAATTTTGATATTGAAAGTCATTTACGGATGATCTATGTATAGCTATATCATTCTATATTCTTATTGGAATTCTTTTCGGTACTGCCATCCCTACATCATTTTATATTTTGAATGTTTGATTACTTGTTTTGTGACATTTTCCTCTCACTGAAAGTTTGTGAATTATATGAATATGTGTAATAAAACTTAATATTATGTGTACTATTTTTTTTTACTCCTTCGCTTCATACATAATATAGGGATTCGCTCCCTAAAGACAACGATTGTTTAGAGTACAAAGCATTGAGTATTCTACGTCTTACAGTCATCTAATACTCATCTATTATTGGCTATTAACTCCTGTTTTACCCTGTATATCATCTTTTTGCAGGACAAACAAATTTCTGTTAAA